AATTTCATTAAGATCATCATGTGTCATTTCTTTCTAGTATCAATGGAAGTTCCAAACCTTGTGCTGTTGCACACACTTGTGTTGCTTCTTTATGAGGATTCAATTAGATTGTGAAGTTTTAGTGCTTAAAGAAAAAGAAAGAAACTTGGATAAGAGAATATGAAAAGGAGAGACAAGATTAAGTTGAAGGATAATGTGTTAAGTCACCCAACTATTTCCCAGCTTATATACATAAACACCAAGTATTAAAACACCCTAAAACTAAACGATAACATAATAGATTCTATTGGATTGTTAGTTTAATAAATGATTTTTCCATGACAACTCAGATTTTTTTTTTTTCGGAAGTCAAAAAAAAAAAAAAAACTCAGTTGTTACAGCACAAGTGAATTTTTTTTTTTGGTTACAAAATGTTGCACAAAATGATGTCAACTCAATTTGATGTACATGAATTTTTTTTTTTCCAAGCCGTTGCACAAAATAATGTCAGCTAAAACACTTTGACAATGGGGTTTAGTATCTTTAATGGTGTCTTGTGCTTTTTCATTGTAAACATGTCATGCTTTATCAAAGAACTTGGGCTGGCAAGCACCAACAAAATAGGATTGTTTAGAGAAAAACAAACGACATCTTCTTGAGGTTACCAGATCCTTAATATTTTCACAAATTTCCATGAATCATAGTGGGATGATGCTCTTCTTATTGCCACATTCCTTATAAATTGGAAGTCATCTTTAGTATTGAATGTTACAGCATCCAACTAAAAATTGTCAACAATTGGAGTGACCTCTCAAGTACATAAACTAACTTTGGGTGATCCTAATCATTGGTGTCGGATATAAAATCTCTTTTACATCCTCTCTAATGTTATATTTGGGCTAGCACGTAGGGTTAGTATGCAAACCAATTACAATGCACGTCGGGAGATTTAAATGGGTAAGTAAACCAACCTTGGGTTTGTAAACTAACTCTGATACCATGTTAGAGCATCCAACTCCAAACTAACCGGCAATGAATGGATTGGGCCCTCAGGTATGTAAATCAATCTTGGGTGGTCCCATCATTCGACGTGGGATACAAGATCCCGAATTTGCAGGCATCTATTCGAACATTACTAACGTCAGCATTTTCTCTTTTTACTATTCCCTTTGTGTTTTGGTATGTATTTGCTATATCCATGTTCTTGATTCTTCTAGAAGAAAACTTAATCCTAGGGCACTTCAATGTATATTTTAGTGATACTCTCATAATCGAATCGAGGTTCCAAGTGTTACCACCCTCCTTCAAAGAAAAGGTTTGTGACCATGAATGCGACTTTCTTTCAATACAGGAATTATCTCTAACTTCTCTTTAAAAAAGGAACACACGTATAAATAGGTCTTCCCAAATTTGCTCCAAGTGCTGTAAAACCCGAAAAATTTAATAAATCGATTAAATGGATAATACGATAATTAAGCCGTTTAAGCAAGGTTAAAAATCTAAAATTTTATATAACTCGGATGATGAAACAAACCTTACCGTTAAACTCATCTAATGGAAACAAGTTGGGACGTACAAATTTCTTAAATTTCGAGTCAGTTGAAATTTTTACGTGTTACGTGGTAAAATATGCGATCGGATGATACGCAATTAAAATTCCAGCAACTGAGTTTTCATTCGCGGGACCCACAATATAATTAAAGTAGCTACTCATCTAACATTATCCAAACACGACACGTATTGAAATGTGATTGACTCTCTAGGGCTTCCAACCAATTAAAAGATGACATGTGGCAAGTTCTACACCTAGTATATAAAGTGCAAAGAGTGGAAGACTTGTCTTCCACTACCCTATTTCTCTTGCAAATTTCGGTAGAGAGACAGAAAGAGAAAACTTGAGGTTTTTCAACTTCTCTTCTTCTACAAATATCTCAAAATCCAATCATTGGATCTTCATCAATCAAAAATTAAAGTTGCTCTATGCGACAAGGGCTACACATTCACACCAACATCGACTAGTTTTCACCAACTTTTGGGTCAAGGATTTTGGCTAGAACTTGAAGAAGACTTTGTTGGGTTTTCAAGCTATTTCTTCACCACCACTTGCTTTTAAGAGGTGGAGTTCCCTTCTATCTAGGACTAATTCCAATTTAATGCATGAATATATTATGGGTATAATTATGTGTATGTTAATTGTATAATTTGCATATGACTAGTGTAACTAGTGGGTTCTCTTATGGATTGATGAACATGTTATGCTAATACTTGTAGTATTGGGTAAATGAGCATGTTATTAAGTTGATTATGACATGTATGTTATATGTATGAATCTATACACCCTACATGTTTGATGAAATGCTGTAGTGTGGACAAGTATGATATGTGGGTTAATTGATGTATATCACATCTTTGATGAAATACTAAAAATGAGAAATATATATGCACGAGTTAAACACCACATCCACAAGGCATGGGCATGGTAGTGTTTGTGCATGGGTTGACCATTTACCATATAGGTGAGTTGGATGGGGCTTGAAAATATTGGACTAAGGTCTAATTGAGTGTTATGAGATTTTGCTTATGATAATGTGTTGAGGATATAGCAAGAAGAGCTAAATTCTCCATCGGATACAGGACCGGATTTTTCGGCTACACACTGTCTGATGGTGTAAAGAGTCCATAAAAGTGCAATATGGAGCTGGAGGTGGGATGTCATCAAGATCCGTTGACGATTTGGTAGTCCATTGGTGAAAGTCCATAAATTACCTATTCCATAAAGATAAGATAATAAATGAAAGGTCCTTTGGTGAGCATAACTCAATGGTGTGGGCGTGGAGTGTCCAGTTCAAGAGCATGACATCACATGTCATGGGAACCCAAGGGTGAGTTCGGAGTTTGGTATGCATGCATGAAGCACCATCTCATGTCATGGCATAGTGATAGCATTTATTCACGTTTATGTACATATATACTTGAGATGTTTGAATGTGTACCACATCATATGCTTCATTGGGTTGGGAAGTGATCTTCATAGGAGATACCCTACTGGGCCTTGGCTCACCCCGTCTTGAGAAAACATTTCTCCTACAGATGGCCTGCACTTGGGCTCAACTTGATGATAGAGCTGGAGTCCGAGCTCATATCTTGATGTCATAGATACGTTTAGTCCTAATTGTAATTAATTATGATAGCCTTGTATTTTTTGTTTATACAATATATATATATATATATAATCTTTTGTAAAGACATGTAAACTTGGAAAACATAGTATTTATTCTTTTAATAAATGGACATTTGTACCTTTGAAGCTGCTTAAGTGTTTATATTAGACCTTGGAAGGTCATTGTAAATGAACTTGAGTCAAGTTGTGTTTTGGGTGAAACTCTCCGTACAAAGGAGACTCCACCGGAATTTCGTTGGAATTGGTTAACCAAGACCAAGACCTTAAGTAAATTAATAAGGCTTAACGAGTAATAAAGACCCCCAAGAATTGAGGCATCACAAGTGCTCATGCCTTTCCTTCTTCTGAAGTGTCGGAGAAGCCTACTGAAGTTCTGAGATATTCTCCTAAGAAATTGATACTCTACTAAAGGAGACAATGGGATAAGTCCTTCTGTCAACTAACTTGAAAACCATCTTCCTTAGCCTAAGCTAATGTTCCCAGTACTCTTTGTAAAGGAGTCACATCTTGCAGTCAGCATCCTATCCCTAATTTTATGTGCTATAATAATCTCTCACCATATCATGCATTTGTTTCCCACTTGTCTTCTATGTGTTCCTATTAGTATTCCTAATGGAAGGAAATAATGTCTAATGAGCCGAGAGCTCTACAAAAAAATAATAATAGTAATGTTCAGGCAAAAGAAGACATGATGTCAGTTAAAATCATAGTTGTCAATATAGTACAATATGTGATACGCACGATGCGTTTTGATGCAAATAAAAAAATGGTAAACCCAATATTGTATTTTTTAATTTTTTACTATAAATAGTGAAACGACGTTGTTTCATACTGCTTTTTTTACCTAACTGGGAAGCGCCATTTCCTATATGTTATTTGATCCTCTTATGTTTCTCCTTGTTATTCTTCTTTGTGAAACGGACGAAACCCCAACTATATTCCGATCTTTGTTGCAAACATGAACGGTTGTCCCTCTTTCAATCTCTAGAGGAAACACACATCCCACGAAATGATAAGTGAATTGAAATGACATTTGTTATTTACAGCACTATATATATATTTATATATCTATGGTAATATATTATTAAAATTGAACATATCTTATAGTAAATAATGTATTACAAGGTACGATACATTATTTTTGAAAAATGAGACGATACACATTTTGATAACCTTGGTTAAAATAATCTCCTAGAGCATTATTTGAGATGTTAGAGAGGGTTATGCTGGAAAGTGACTACAGATAGAATCAGGACAATCATACATTATTCATCCATCATTCACCAGGAGGCAATGTGATTGCCCTCATTTTTGTATGTTGGTGATACTGTTAAAACTGAGTACAATACAGAGAATACAAAAGTTAAAGCTTATCTTGCCAAGGAATTTGAGATAAAAGACCTAGCTTGAGGGGGAGTGTGGCATGTCTTTTTATTTTACTGTTTCACAAGTCTTATTAGGTAGTTTTATCTTCATATTTGAGTTTGTATTACTACCAACATACAAGATATCTGCCATAATAATCTCTGCTTTTCCCCTCTCTCTTGATTATTGGTTTGTATTAGATTTTACATGCAAACGCCACTCTGACCTTTCAAGGCCACAACACCATCTCTCCACCACATTCACCAGGAAGTTTGTCCAACTTTGATCTGCAATAATACTGTTTATGTCAAAAGAAAAATGATAGAAGGCTTTCTTCTTCTGGTCCTCAAATATTTTCAATTACAATAACTTTATAGAAGTCCTTTTAAGGCATGACAAAATTGGGCTTCAGCATTTCTTTTGTATAAGAAAAGGGCACCTTTTCTTTAAGTGTTTAATCTAGAGCTGAAGATTATTAAAACTGTCTAACACCATTGGTCAATAAACAAGTAAAGAAGAATAGTAAAACTTAATGCATAACAAGTAAGAAAAATACTACCATCAAACAACTATTACCTCGACAGGGAGACCCTTCTTTTTGCAGAGAGATCTAAGTGCAAAATCACAACTTATTCCCTTCTCACTGAAGCGATCTACAATTGCTGGAGTTGAGTTTACAAGAATATCAGGCTCGGCATCCTGAAAATCTTCCAAACTAATTGCTGACTGAAGAAACAAGAAGATATGAAGAGTTACATTTTTAGTACGTCATATCTCATACAAGACCACATTGTCTCGTAAAATAAAAGAACATGAGCTGCATCTTGTTAAAATGAGATACTTTCTTACGTAATTCACATCTACTGCATATTAACGGCTCCTAAATGGAGCTGTATTTATGTTGGCACCTTTCATACAAGACATTCCTCCGAGAATTTAGTCAAGGTCCGACCATGCCTAGAATTTTTCAAATGAACTCACATTCATGGTCAACATAGACAGAACACAATGTACACGTAAGTACAGTCGTATACTGTTAGATATAGAGAAATATAGTCACGCAGAAAATAATAAAACAAGAGTATATAAGTTAAAAATATGGATGGACTTGCCTATAAAATACAATTGTATAAATAGTTGAACATAGATGATTTCACATGTATAGATTGGTTTTCCAATTGAATGATCTTATACTGTCAAAAAGCTGATCGTGCTGGTCATGATGTACTGTAACATGTTTGTGTCCTGATACTGCACCCACGTAACATATTTTTGAAACCCTATCTACAAGTAACTCCCCTAAACACGAAATGGTGACTGCAAGGGTACATGCCTGAATACCATACACAGAGAACAGCTCTATTCTCGTCACTTCCAATCTGTAGACAGTCGAGCTAGTGTGGTTTCCATCACCTTTGGAAGTAACGCTCACAATCTCGCCACCTAAACACAAAAATTGAGATCAGTGAAAAAACTAAGGCTATTACTTGGCACTAGTAATTCAAACTAATAGCAAGAATGATATGCTTCGCTAAAGCAATTTAAATTGGAACCATGCAATAACAATCAGAAGATAAATCTTCAAAAGGACAAGGCAATGTGGGAATAAGCCACTTCACTAGGACTTGCAGATCTGCTATTTTTCCCATTCCAAGTCAATGATTTTCACTATTTTCACATCAAGAAGAAGTTGAATTACAAAATCCATCAAAAGGGATTCTTAGTTTCCAAAGAAATCCTACTAGATACGTATAAACTTGTTGGTTCATCAAGAATATCCTTAGACATTCTTGGTTAACAAAGACATTCACCTAAATCAAATTACATAAATGTCTGTTTTCTTGGATGATTCCATTATGTCTGGTGAGAAATGCTGAAAGATATAGCTCCCGGTATGGAAGTGGAAAAAAGAAAAAATAAAAAAAAAAGGGAAGATTCAATTCCGAAGTGAATATTTAATAATTAAAGCATCCGATACCTTCCCAGTCTGAGGTGTAGCCATAACTATCTTCACCCTTGAAGAGCCTTCGTAAATATAATTCCTCATCCATAAAGACAGGTCTGAGGAATCCCATCATTGAAACAACATTTGATGGATGGTCCATCCTTTTAGCATAATCTGCAGTAACAGCCTTCAAGAAAAGAACTATGTCAACAAAATGCAATATGAGTTCATATGGATCTTGCTTGATCTGCTAACCAGAACAATGTAATTCATGGAAAAACCACATTTAACTTTGAAATATAGTATATATAAACTTTTATTTTTCTCTTGGCCCAGATGAATCACTAGCCAGAGAAAGAAGAATCATAACTCTTTATTGCTCGCAACTATGAAACCTAAATTGAGTAAGAACACAGAAACATCCAATTGCTGCTAGTTTTGTATTCAATGACCGCTTCCTCCTTTTACCCCCTATGTTTTGGGGTTTTAGCAAGAGCCTAAACAAGTGTTGACATACCACTCACTAATGACATGAGAATATTTTGGTTTACAGACATTTCAGATTAGTTTATTCCATTGTTCATACATTTAAAAAGATTCAAACCATATCCAGTAAAATATTACGTAAGGTACCAAAGTTTTTAGTTCATTGACATCGTTATAATAATCTTTATAGCAAGCAAGACAATGGGATAAATTTGCGCATTTAATTGCAATGGAAACAAGAACAAATATTTGCATTTTAAATCCCACCCCAAATGCCAGCAAATATATTCCGCATAACTGATGTCTTATGACCCAGTTCTTAGTTCTGAAAAGATAAATGGCAACATGGACCAAAGAACGTTTCCTATGGTATGTTAAAAAAAATAAAAAACAGAAACTGAAACACATGTTATTGATGAACTGATGTGATGCTTTCTAGAAATTTTCATCTATGTTTCTCTTTTTGTTGATTCATTAATTCTTCAATATTGAGTGAGAAAAAATTGATAACACTATTTTTTCTCTACTATCTATGCGGATCAAAAGAAATGCCTTCAGATTCTGAACTCAGATTTACCGATATGACTTCTACGTATTATTACACATTGAAGCTGTGGCAGCATCCAGTCTAATTGTATTAACATTTGTATCTCTGCATCTTAGATTTTTTTTATTTCTGTGGAAGACAGAATCATGAGGGAAATGATGAAAATAAGACTGTGAAAACCAAGACTAGTTGGAAGTGGCAGCAATGAAACAGTCGTTGATGTTGCTAACAGTGGGTTTGTGCAAAGTTTAGACGAATTATGCTTGGATGCTTCAGAGATGATCAATAGCTGACGAACAGAAAGGTAGGGCTATTTACACGATTGAATATCTTGATGCGGATGTTGTTAACTTTGATCAAACATGGAGAAGAGAGAAGAAAGAAAGGAAATATCATTACGACATACTAGTTTGTGTTACGACGACATTAACCTAACATACACAATAGAAGCCCTTATATAGTGGGGCAACATAAGATAAAGGAAATTACTAAATTATCTCAAATGCTAATATGTTAAGATACTCTAACACACACACACACCCTCTTTTTTTCTCAAACTCATGATGTGGTAGTAGAGAATATCAAGTGTTTGCCAAGAAAACGAAAGTGCACTATAGTGTGAGATTTCATAAAAGAATTTGCTAATTGCTTAGTAGACTGAAGAAAAGGGAGAGCGATGGTGCCTAGCAAGCGATAGTCAATTTCGATGTGTTGTGTATACTTGTGGAAGACCGAGTTGTGAGCAATTTGAATAACAATCTTATTGCCACAATACATAGAGATAGGGCTAGATAAAGAAATACCAAGTACAACAAGTAGTCATCTTAACCTGACTATCTTAGTTGTGGTAAATGCCATAGCACAGTCCTCAGCTTCAGCCGAAGAACGAGCAAAAACAGTTTGGTTCTTGTTTTTCTAAGAAATGAGAGAATCACCAAGAAAAAGACAGAAACCAGGGGTAGACTTGCGATCTATATCACTAGCCTAGTTAAAATTTGTGTTCCATAGACAAGGAGGAAGGGATCATAACATTGTTCTAATACCATGTTAACTTTGATTAGACATAGAGAAGAGAGAAGAAAGAAAATATCATCGTGACACACTAATCTATGTTACAACAACATTAACCTAAGATACACAATAGAAGCCCTCATATAATGGGGCAACATAAGATAAAGTAAACAACTAAATTGCCCCTAATGCTAATATGTTAGAATACTCTAACAAATGTAACAACAGAAATAAAGTCAAAGGATAAGATGACCTGTCAAGTGAGATATTGATTGCAGTAAGACGGCAAAAACAAAAAAGGCTTTAATGGGCAACGATAATTGATAGAAATTGAGCTCTAATACCAATTTTCGTAGGGCAATAAGATTTTTGCAGAGATTACGAAAGAATGGAATTAATGGGTGAATATCAAAAAAGAAAACAGAAGCATGAGACAGTAAGAATTTGTCGTTTTTTTTTTTGGATAGGGAATTTGAGAATATTATTAAAAATAAAGATGGAGATAAGGTTACATGAGAGGCTAAGGAGTCCTCTCCAGGAAAAAAATAAAGATTGAAAAAGAAAAGAAAAGAAAAGGTTACAAACAAAAATGTAAAAAACATAACAGAAAATAAGCTTGAACTCTCAACAAACATCACCGAAAATCCTTTATCAATAATAATGGAATTCCTTCAAAATCGTGGAAGCCGAAAGAGATGCCATAGGTGTAACTCTGTACCACAAGTCTTCCCAAGTACTTTCTCTATCATCGAAAATCTTTATTTTTCTTTCCAACCAAACCATTATATAACAAAGCCAAAACTACACAATTCTATAAAATCTTAGCTTTATAGCTAGAACCAAAGCCCTATTAAGTGATGTGTAAAGAACAAAAATAAATCTCTAAGAATCACCCAAGAGATACCTTACTAAACTCAACAATGTGTTCCACAATTTTAAAACAAAGGAGCAATGTAAGAATAAGTGATCCATACTTTCCTCAGTTGTCTTGCAAAGAATATACCATTGAGATAGTAAGCAATAAAATGATCTTCCTTTTAGGAGCAAGTCATTGGTATTGAGTTTCTTGTGTGCAAGTAACCAAGCAAAAACTTGTACCTTTAATGGAGCCTTAGACTTCAAAATCATGATTGAGCTTGGGAAGATTGGGAAACTAGGCTTATCAATCAAAGTCTCAAAAAAAGACTTACAAGAGAACACCCCCGAAGAAGAAATAGTCCATTTCCTACGATCCAAATGTGCGACTCGTTCAGATCATGAGCTAGCCCAAAAAAGATAAATGATTCAATACAATATTATCAAGAATGCCCAAAAGGGAAGACATCCTAACAACTTCTCTATTGTTCAAGTTCCTAAAGAAATCAAAGTTCCAGCAATTCGGGGAAGAAACAGATAAGATCATGGTAAAAATAGACGAATTGGGATTTTTAGGCAAATGATATAAGTGAGGACACATGGAAGCAAAAGAAGAAACACCACCCCAATTATCATCCCAAAACGAATGCTCACCAACATACTTAGACATGTTTATGAAACAATATAACCCTTGAGAAATGAATTTTCAAGGACATCAAGAACACCATCTCTCAATCACTTTTGGTATCTCACCTGTTATCTTCAATCTCATATTTACTTTTAATCACGAAATGACGTAAACTATTGAATTCAATGGGGAATCTCCATAACCATTTGGTAAGTAATGAAGATTTTCTAACCTTCAAATTTCCTAATGCAAGACCACCCTTAGTTTTGGATCAGGTCACCAAATCCAGCCTTACCAAGTGGTCTTTCTTCTCTTCTCCACAACGCTCCCATAAAAAAATCTCTCATCTTCTTCTCAATTCGGCTCACCATTTTCAAATAAATGGAGAAAAAATATGGAAACGCATGAAAATATAAATACAATCTATTTATTTATAAAGATAAACTTAATAATTAATTAATTGAGTATGTTTATTGGGTTAACATACATTTATACAAAATAACATTAAGTTGGAGGAAAAAAAAAGGCTTGACACGACACGAGGCGGAAATCACTTCAACTATTTTAAAACATATTTTACATGCAAACATTTTTATAAATTTAACAAATAAGGTATATACCATAAAATTAACTGCAACTATTTAACAAACACGGTATATTTTTAATATACCAGTTTAGTAAATAATAATAATATAAAAGAATAAAAGAAAAAAAGTAAAAAAAAAGGGGGGGAAGGGGGCATTAACTTAATTAACAAATATAAAAGACATAAAAAAATAAAATACCAAGATAAAAACCAAAAAAAAATGAGGGACTAAACAAACGCTCTTCTTACGTCTCAGCAAAATGCGGAGAAAGAGCAAGAACAAACGATGAGAGTTTGAGATGCAGACTTACGAGATAGAGCAGGAGAGAGAGAGAGGAGACCCGTAAGCCTCGTCAGCCCCATCCCTATCCCAGATCTGCAAATCTGAGAGAAAGAGGGTAATACCCATCCTAGTCTATAGATCAAATCGAGAAACAGACTCCCCTTCCCCTGTTTTCGCCTACGTATATAGGATATTTTAAGAGGTGAACATCTTTCTTAGTAACAGGGTCTGAGGAAACAATAGGAAAGAAAATTTCACTATATTTCAGACCAGGAACTGGGCCTATCACAAGACTCTTTATGAGGACCCAACAAAGAAAAAGAAAGAAAGAGAGAAGAAAAATAAGAGAAAGGAACAAACTCATACTTGGAGGAGGTTGAAACTAGAACGTGGAAGTGGAGGGTGGCTCTGGACTCAAAGAGGTACGTTGCTAAACTCTTCTCACTTTTGATTTCTGGGTGTGCTCTCAGTCTCTCTATCGCTCCATCTCTCTCCCTCTGTTATGCTGGACGACAATTTTTTGGGCTTGAAACGATAATTTTTTGACCTTGACCATCGATTCCCAAATTTTTTTTTTGATTGGAAAATAACTTATTGTATTAAAAATAAGATAAATATCAAGAATGGTGGATAAGGAATCTAACTACAAAAGCAATGAAAAGGAAAAACAAAAAACAAAAATTACAAACAAAGGAAATAACTTGTAAATCACATAAAGCTAGCCATCTTGAAAGTATAGCAAAAAATGGAGTCTCTCTAAACTGATTTGCACCTAAGGCCCAAAAAGAAGCTAAGAAATGAATCTGGTCTCATAATCTATCCAAACAGTCTCCTCTGTCTTCAAAAATACGTGTGTTTCTCTCCTTCCATATAACCAAAAAAGTTACAATTATAGCACAATTCCATAGAGTGATATCCTTATCAAGAGATCCTAAGCCTTTCAAATCCTCAACAAACAAAGATATGGATGATTTAGGAAAGACCCAACTCAAGTCCACCAAGTTAAACAACTTATGCCACAAAGTCAAAACAACAACGCAATGTAAAAACAAATGATCAATACTTTCATAATCACTTTTATACATCACACACCACTAAGGAGAAAGAAAATTAATAGGTCTCCTACTCTAAAGCATATCGTTAGTATTAATCTTCCCACATGCAATAGTCCATGCAAAAACTTTCACTTTAATAGGCACTTTTGCTTTCCAAATCATTATAGCTGGAATAAACGGAGGACTTGATGAATGGACAATTAAAGAATCATTGAAGGATTTAGTGGAAAAAGCACCGGATGACTCAAGTACCCATCTCCTTCTGTCGCATAACTCTTGAGATAACAAAATGTCATCAATAGTAGCAAGAAAAGACATCAACTCCAAAGTATCTTTATCATCAAGATTTCTACGATAACCAAAGTTTCAAGAATAAGGATGATGAAAGAGCTAATCATGGAAGAAATAGATACGCCATGAAAACCGGATAAGTGATAAAGTTGTGGAAACAAAAATGACAAAGATAACTCCCCCACCCATGGATCTTCCCAAAAACAGATCCTTTCTCTATTACCCGCCACAAAACTAAGATAATGGGAAAACCTCGTTATAACCAAAGATATGAATTTCCACGGGCATAAAACTTACCCTCTCAACCCTATTAGTGTCCCATCCATTGACTTGTAAATCATATTTGCTCTTAATAACTAAATGCCAAGGAGAATTTTGTTCGAAGGGAAACCTCCAAAGCAACTTGCCTACTAAAGCAATATTTCTGACCTTCAAATTACCAATCGAAAGACCACCTTTATCCCTAGATCTAGACACCACATCCCAACTAATCAAATGATTCTTTCTCCCCTCACCACTTCCTTTCCACAAGAAAAGAATTTAGATTACCCCCTAAAGGTAACCCTAAGTACTTTAAAAGCTACTCAAAAACTAAACATCATATAGCTTCTACCAATCTTATCATCTTCAATAGAGAGAGAATTTGTAGAGAAAAAAAACAATTAACATTTATTCTCCTAGCAATATCAATAACCAAGACTTGAAACCCATTACATATAGGGTCTATTTAATGGCTATAATAAAAACCATAATTAGCACTTTCCAAAATAAAAATCATAATATTAAAATCTTAAATTAACAAACAAACCCAATAAATCCTGAAATATAAAGTACCCCTAAAAAGACCCATAATCATTATTTATTCATCATCCCATTCCTTTACATTCTCGTAATATATTCTATCAAGCTTTCGGTAGGATACCTAGGAATTCATTTCCAAAACACCCAATAGACAAGTCCAATAAGCCCAAATAACTCATTTAGCAATGCCTTCCAACAATTTCGCAGGAGCACCCAAGTTCCAGTCATGCAACAATCAATACAAAAAGACATCTAAATCAAGGAGATCCTCCTGGAAGCGAGGTCCACTCAGGTAGGTTGAACAGCTCCTGTTAGGCTCAAAGCTGACGATTTTTGCCTTATTCCTAACCCACTGTTGGATGATTTGGCGGCACTGTAATGAGGTGCTATTTCAAAATGCGAAGAAGGAACAGGAGGAAATGGCCGGCAATGCTAAGAGATACCATGACCAATATTTGGAGACGATTGGGAATGCAGATCGTAGTTAGGCTGCGCAAAGAGAGGTGCAGTGGAATCCTCCAAAGCCAGGTTTCGTCAAAGTTAACTTTGATGGTGCAACCTTCGAACAAGAGGAGACCATTGGCATCGGTGTGGTTATCAGAGATAAAAGCGGTCAATTTCTAGCAGGACTCTCCAAAAAGTTTTAGATCAAAGGTGATGCCCTTCTAGCAGAGACAATGGCCACCAGAGAAGCTGTCTTTCTAGTGCTTCAACATGGGTTTCAGGAGGTTGTCACCGAAAGGGACTCAGCTATCGTAGTCAAAGCAATTGCTGACAGAGAGGATAACTACAATCCACTGGGACATCTATAATGAGGCTAATAAATTTGCTATCCTAGAAATAGATGTTGTCAGACGAGCAGGGAATAAGGTCGCACATCATCTAGCTAGGCATGCTTGCTCTATTGATTATTTATCTGTATGGAGAGAGCATCCCCCAGATTTCTTAAAGCCTCTCCTCTTTTCTGACATATCGGTTTAATGGAATTTTTATGATCGTTTCTTTCACAAAAAAAACAAAAAAAAATCAAGGAGATCCTCCATCACCTTCTCTGGCAGGAGTGGCTTCTATAATAAGGCTGAGCTTCTCAAACAAAGAAGGCTTACTTACCATGGTATTAGTAAAGGCCCTCTAACATTAATGATCACCCCAGCATTCTAAAAATTAATAAGAGCTTATGAATATGCAATCATCAATCTGCTACAAGTTTATTTTAACATTTACAAAAAGGCTAACTATGGCTCATCATCGTGATCAGAAACAGCTTCAACAAAGTCAGTTACCTAGTACATTAGCTACCAGGCCAAGCAGTAATCACCTTTGCCAAACATTTTCCAAAATAAACTGGATGAACCGATCTGGAAGTATCTGGCCTTCCCCAGTCAACTGGGATATCGAAAATTTCAGAACCCTCCAACTGCTTGGAACAAAAGGACATAGAATGTAAGCAAGAAAGGAAAAAAACCTAAGAGGCGATCTCCAATTGCAGAACAGTAATCAACAACAATGATTTCTTACCTCAAAGTAATCATCACGAAAAGAAATTTCATCCCTAAAACCACTCTCAGAAATGTCATATTCAGCATCATATATCCATTTGTTCTCATATAGTGGGATATCCATCCCAAATAAAGCATTCTGAAGAAATGCAAGAATATAATTGATTAACACAGCTTTGCTATAGTTTGTGCAAATCAAATTACAAAAAATTGAAATATCCTCCAAGTCTATGCTATCAGACAAAACTACTGCATGGATGCCAACTTGCCAAGGAACAATTCTGATGTCCTAAAACTAAATTGTCCGACTGTTCTCCAGCTTTGGACTTGGGATTGAATTTATGTTTAATTACAAGACTCAAGACTTACTCTTGTTTCTACATTAAAGGATTTAATATTTACAATAAGTGTAATGTAATTGTCCCTTTTATTGGGTTCCAGCGTGTGCACACTGAGAGAGATACGGAGCCAAAGAGAGACAGAGAGAATGCAGATATGTGAGAAGGAAGATCCAAAAAATATAGAACAGTTTGTATGTTATGTTTTGCAAGGGAATGCGGGAATTTATAATTGCTGGAGACCAAGAGACCTAATCCCTGTCCCTTTTAATATATAGTGATTGACAGTAGATATGAAAGATGTCTTTCATAAATTGAAGAATCGAACAGATATCATAAAATACATTTTTTATATGACAAAACTACAAAAGAAAAATGGGAGAAAAAGAGATATTGAAGTCCAAAAATATTACTTCGCACTCGAAATTTCCTAATGATTACGTTATGTAGAAACAAAATGTCGTTACGTGCAAAGTAAAATTAATTTTTACATTCAGGAAGGTGCAAAACACGTTGAAATTTTAAAGATCTTTTATTAACTTTTAGACACCTAATTTTTAGCAAGGTGTGCGCAATGATTTCCAGCACACAAAGTGCCTGAGCTACAGTCATCCAAAAGGGGAAATGGAACAAAAGATAATGAAAGTCCTCACCACAGGGTTACTTGCACCACGATCTTGCAAGATGTTTTCATCATCAGAAATTTCAAAAAATATATCTGAGGAAAAAAGTAGTACAATCAGGATGTTAAATGTAATCATTTCATGTTATAGACTAACAAGTATCATCCTAATAACAGATAGAAACAGCCAAACCTCCCCACTCATCAATAACATATTGAAACTCAGCCCATGAGATTTGTCTGTGTGGTTCACAGTGCACCATACTTGGAAATATCAACCAAGCACTGTTGTTTGCCTGAAACAACAAAGATCAGACCATGTATTTTGAAGAAAGAAAAAGAACTTATATCCTCTCACTAAGAAAACGAATATTCAGACAATTCAAGGATTTTGTTTTAGTTCTGAAATAGAACTTCACCATTCCATTGGGAAGAAAAATATATACTCTAGTTCCAAAAATAAAAATTTTTAGGGGAGAAAAAAACCTCAACTGCAGTCCGTGCTATTTCAGCAGAGGTGAGGTTAATGTCACGAACTCTTTTGCGATCTTTCAATTCCTCAAGAGGATGATACCCATTATGGCCTAAATAATTAGATGAATCAGGTACTGAATCTGAATAATCTGCAGCGACAAACACTTTAGAAAGGCTCATTTCATCCCCCAATTGCAACCACTGGGATCGCGTAGCTCCAAAAAATGGATTCCCACATCTGAAACTGGATATAGAGATATACATACTCATTTTCATTCTAGAGTGTTAGTCTACAAATAGCACTAAAACTGAAGGTTTTAAAGAAGCCACACTGGGTAAAAGAAAGCAACAAATTGGGGATTCCTCAGCATTACACCTGACTATTAGGAAGCACGACCAAAAAAAGATTTAAAAAATCTCATGATGCAAAAAATGCCACAGGTAAACTTTGAGATTGTGGATGTAAATGTGACAGTCAGTTGCTTTCTGCAAATAATGCATGTGGTTAAGCTTGTACCCAATGTACTCCTCCAATTATTCATATATATCAACCAACATGACTAGTGGCCCCTAAAAGGCGTCTTAGAAAAGAATCGTAATAAACCTAATTTTGTTGGTAAAGTAACAGTCTCACGCAGTCATACCTTCCAAAGAATGGTGAGAAAACTTAGAATCATGAATATTCATTACATGTTAAGTTGATAGCTCATTGCATACAGAAGATTTATGTCATAATTATGAAATCCAAATGCTATGTGTAATATAATTCTATTTAACTGCAACTGGATGAAGTGTTGGTGCAACACAAACTACAAAGAAATTAACACAAACTACCATTATTCAATTATACAAAATAGGCAGTGTTTTCACTTTCAGTTAGATTCTCATGTTATCACCTTATGCCTGAATGATCAGTAATTCTTTGACAATCAAAAGAAGATCCGATCCACCTGCTAGTGACTCCATAAGATGTTGAGCAACCAACCCCTTCAGCATGACAATAATGGCAGTGCGAAGGTCCTGAAACTCCGTCAACAGAAATGTATCATAGAAAAAAAAACAGAAAGTATAAAAATTAGATGACACAGAAGAATCAAAGATGAGGCTAATAAGATAAGAACAGCGACCGGTAATCGAAAAACGTAAACATATAAGGAGCTGTATATACAACCACACAAACATCAATGAAATGCCATTTGGCTTCTCAGAAAACTAAGCAAAAGACATGCACAAGATATTATCTCAAAAATAAAAAACCTCACTTCTATTAGACCAAATCAAAGTGAAGGTTTCTATTTCCTTGGCTACTGTATTATGCAGAATTTGAAATTCAACATTGAAAAGTTTCATCCACGCATCCCTAATGTTGCCTTATTTTCACAAAAAAAATCCTTTGTATTATTTAAAACTTCACTGACAAGCCCTGTCAGTGTTTGTCATATGATAGAGGTCAAATAAATGACTATTAAACATATTTCCCCATGAAATTTTAAGAAATTATCTATTAAACTAATATTGTATCTATAATAGTAGTATCTATTTAATGACTATTAAACATATTTCCCCATGAATTTTAAGAAATTATCTATTAAACTAATATTGTATGTATAATAGTAGTATCTATAATATAAAACAAGGCAGACTTCAATAAGTCCATCCAATGGTCTCAAATAAACTCATCCAACAGCCACCAACATCCCAGTCACAACTATTTACATTGCACCATGTCTTCAGGCACGAGTTATCCCTAGTATCTATACTATATATACCGAGAGAGAGAGAGAGAGAGAGAGCTGCCCAGCCCACCAATATCATATCAACTCACCACCACCATGTTTGCCAACCTCTCTAGTTCATTCCAATTAGCACCGACCCATTCCCCATTTTCACTCCAAACCCTAATGTTATACCACTGTCCTGCCACCAATTCTTCTCTGTAGACAGCAAACTCAAAAGTTAATTTTCCTATCTCCGACCATTTCGGCCGAGTTTGAGATGATTCTCATTGCATTCGAGCACAAAATTTTGATTTTTCAAGGAAGACACCGGCGTGGGAAAGGACACGACAGCAAACAAAGAGCACGTGGAGGTGAAGAAGAGTTCAGAAACAAAAAAAGGTATGGTTTGAGAGTATTTGATTTTCCAGCAAATATTGCATGTCGAGATGAGAATTTGAGGGTATCTAAATCTGCTTCCTGTGGTGGAAAATAAACAACGCTAAGAAATTCATCTGCCATGAATGGGTGGTGCTGTGAGTTGCTAATAATTGCAGTTCATGGTGGTGTGCGATGGGGGAGGGTGTTGTGAGCGGTGGTAGCGGGGTTTTGTTTGCAATTATGAGTGGAGCTAGTTGGGTGGTTCACACTGGTGTGGCATGGTTTGCAGTGTGGAGATTATGGTTCGTAGGACGGTAGGAGTGTCGAGTGTTTGCAGTGGTAGTGTTGCATGGTGACAGTTATGTGGGTTGCAATGGTATGGGGTGCTTTCCAATGCTGGGTAAAGTGGTTTGGATGTGGTGGTCATGCAATTGTAGGAGAGATGAGAAGATGATAAAGTGTAATGTGGATATTTTTAAACAATCTAGAATGGCATCAGCATTTTTTGACCAGTCAATGATGGTTATCCATTGTAGGCGTGTGGATGAAGCGAGAGTATTAAACTATAAAGAGATGCAGTGAAGTTCCAGATAATAGAGGGACTGTCATTGAAGTTAGAGAAATATACAGGTGTATGAATGAAATTTTCACATTGATACTTATTCATTTGTGTCTTTACGCTTGATCAGCAAACACCTGATGAGCAAAAATCTTCAGCAAGCACAAACAGAGCACTGATTTCACAGTAACTCAAATATTCTACGAAGAAAATCAAATGGGAAGAAAATCAAAGAACACAAGTGAACAGAGAAAAACCAACAAGGGGCAACTTGCATACAAGGACGAGAGAAAAACAAAATACATAGACTTTCTATCCAGCAGGATGCTGAGAGAGAGAAAAAAAAATTGGAAAAACATTGAGTTGTATTGATGTCTATCACTAGTCAAGGGCTGAGAAAACTGAAGCCCTCAATCAAATTCCAAAAACAACTAAAATTACTCGAATTCTTTTGTTTTCCTCTGTTTGTTCACCAATTGAATTGCATGAAATTACAAAAGTTGACTACTGTACAAGTGGGGATTACTTAGGTAAGTGACTAAATCAATTAAAACATCCGTACAGACAATTATATATTCAAAGAACAGACAATTCTTCATGTAAACACAATATTAAAAGAGAATCAAAGTGGGTATCTCCATAAACATAGAAACTGGGTGTCTCCAGAAATTCTAAGTTGAGTCGTGTTTAATGTTCCATAACGATTCATATAAGTTCACACTTACTGAAATTATGGACTGGAAAAAGATAATAAATTGAGAATTAATTCATATAAATAAAATTCCAAAGGGAGTGTTTATAGTTGTACCGAAGGAGATTGATGAAGCTGCTGCGATCATCAGCATATATGTAAAGGGAGGGAGATGGGTTAGAGAGAGAAAATAAAGAGAGAAAGAGAGAGTGAGTGTTAAGTTCAGATGGTGAGGAGAAGTTTTAGGTCTTGATCTGACTGCCGCAAAGCCGCAAGTTGCTGTTGTTTGCTTCCTGGGATTTGACCATCAATATCTGACTGCGTGGGGTCAGAGAGAGAGAGAGAGAGAGAGTAGCTAAAGCTCTCTGGCGAAACGACACTGAACTGAAGAGCAGAAGTGTATTTTTCCCCCCCGCAGGTTATGAATGTAGTTTGTAACTTTTTTTTCACTAACACCCCCTTGTACATACGCATAATTACAAGAATATCCCCTATAATCCAAAATATCATTGATACCCGTCGCCGTCGGTAAGAGACTAACAAAAAAAAGTATAACTTTTTACGAATTTACCCTTAGAGTCATAATATTTTGAGTAATGCTTGTTAGATTTAAAAATTATACTTAAAAATTAGACTTGATAATCTTAACCATTGAATAAGTAGTAGGTCCCAATAAATACTGGGACCTACAATGAAATTAATGGTTGAGATTATCAAATCTAATTTTTAAGTCTATTTTTACTCTAACATTTTACATGTTTAGGCTTCACGAATTTACCCCATCCCATTACGAATTTACCCTTTCACGAATTTACACCATTCCACCAAAGTCGATGTCCGCCACCCTAGTTTCCCCTCAAGCCACTACCTCTCGAAGCTTAACCCACCCGAATTCCAGTGACTCAATTGATGATGGAAGTGGAAGCATTACCAGGGTTGTTGTCCTCTCACCATGGCTGAGACCATCATGGACAGCAACACTAGGAAGGAACTCCTCTCTCTTCCCAAACGACGATTGTCATGGACACTGTAGTATAAAAATAACACTAATGTTATTGGAATAAAATTTGGGAACTTAATGCATTATGATTATTAGATTGATAGTGTTGGAGTCTAGTGATAATTTAATATTGGGACCCACCGACAATCTAATGGCCACAATCATTAAGTCCTCAAATTATATCCTTAAATTATGTCCTAATAACATTACTGAAAAAATAAATATTTACAAATTAATTGGATGTTCTTAGGAGATCAAACCAGGCAACAAAAATTAGCACAATTCCAATTAAAATGAAGCAAAAACCTTACCATTGATTGATTATTCAAACTTTTTTTTTTTTTTTGATCAAGATTATTCAATTCAATTGAGGTCTATGGTTTCGACTCTCTACCGATGTCCTTGGTGGATCAATTAGTTAGGTGGGATGATTGGTTCAATTATTGGATTAGATTTTTTTTCAGTTTTCAATTTCTTAATTGAATTGGGTAAAATTTGGTGATTGAATTGATAGTTTTGCATCGTACCTAATTAGGTCAAATGGTGGTGATTGAATATTGTTTTGGCTTGGAATGAGATTCTATGAATTTTTGGTTGGTCAAAGGGATGGGCAGGTGTATGCTTATTCTACGAGTCCAATGTCATCCTATTAAGGGCTGAAATCAGTCAGCAGCTGCTTCCCCCACACGTTCTCTCTCTGTTTATGTGCATAGTTGCCTCAAAATCTACCAAGGTTGCCTCAAAATCGTTTGTAGCGTGCTTTAGCTTTTCTTGTCTCCTGCTTCTGCAATGGACATTATTCCATATTCGAATTTCATGTACTTGTGAAATATTATACTGTAATGCCCTAATCTTCATCGATAAGTGAGTACACCCCTTTGGTAAAGAAATCGTTTTGGTAGTGTTCCTCCCGGTTCTTGGGGGTAAGGCCAACTAGGGAAAAACAAGGCTAGTGATTCAGCATGAGAACAATTGGAAATTTGTGGTCAAATGATAGTTTTTTGATATTGACAAAAAAGGCAGTTGCTAGCATTGAAGAGAGTCGTCATTTTCAATAAAGTTTGAATTCGGACTTGACGAACAAGCTCTTGTGGTGGGAGAACAAAGTCGGGCAAGCAAAATAATCATACCGGTGGTTGATGGTAGAGAAAGGCTGGATGAAACATGGATATACATGCCTTATCATCCAAAAATCCAAGTGGATCAATCTTGTTGGGAGGTACTGCCCAAGGAAAATAAAAGGTGACTTCCGGATCAGGAATAATAAATAAAATTGAAACAATATTAAATTGTATATCAAAACGACTTCTGGCATCACCGGAAGGATCAAAACCACATTCATAGGCAGGGGCGGAGCCAGACATATTCTCCGGTGGGGGTAACTTAAACTATATTAATATTAAAATTTAAAACATTCATAAAAGTATAATTTTTTTAATAGAACATCAATTAAAGACGCAATTCATATACATGAACGATATACAAAATGAACCAACAAAAAAAACTCATTTTAAATTTATCTATAAGACCTAATCAAAAAAATTTAAATTGCAAAATTGGGCTCAATCATATATTAAATTTAAAAAAAAAAATTCATAACTAATTCAAAAATTAATTTGTTTAATAACAAACTTAATATTCATCATTAAATTTTAACAAACAATCGAAACTAATTTAAACTATAATTATTCTAGTAAACTAAACCTAGGTATATGAAGTATTTAACTTGTCACAATAAAACTGTTCAAACTACCAAATCAAAATAATTTAGTCTAATTATAATGAAGGACTACAAGTCCTAATTCCAATTCTACAAATAAAAATAAAACAAATGAGACGACTACAAGTCTTAATTCCAATTCAACATATAAAAATAAAATACTAGAGAGGACTACAAACTCAATTATCAATTAAATATATAAAAAAATAAATCATAGAAGAGGACTACAAGTCCCAATTTTATTTCAACATAGAAAAATAAATACAAGACTACAAATTCTAGTTTCAATTCAATACATAAAAAATAAAACATAAGAGATGATTACAAGCCCCAATTTTATATTTTCAATTCAACATGTAACAAATAAAATACAACAGAGAGTTACAAACGTTAATTTCAATTCAACATTTAAAAAATAAACGGAGGGCTACAAACCCTAATTTTCAATTCTAACATATAAACATAAAACAAAGAAGAGGATTACAAACCCTAAATTTAGTTCGAATTATAAACATAAAACAAATGAGAGGGCAAACCTATTTCGTAACATATTAGTTAATCTTTAAATATTTAAATTTTTGATATCATCTTTCATTGATATTTACAAGTGAGACTCATATATTTGTCAAAATAACATAATTACTCTTAAATCTTTTAAAAAAAATTCAGTGGGACAAATATCTAATAAATTCTAAATTTTTTAAAATTACACTTAGTCCCCAAAATTTTTTAAAATTCTAGTGGAGGCAACTGCCCCCACTGTGAATCCGCCTCTGTTCGTAGGCTAACAATTTTTATGGATGGATCGAACTATTGGGAGTAAATGAAAAAGGAACACCGAGTGGGATCAAAGAAACCAGCGCACTGATCGCTACATAGATACAAATAGGTGCAAATTTTGACATCACCACAACCCACTTAGTTCTCTCGCTCCTTGCTCGTGGAGCAACATGCCGGAAAAAAAAAAAAAAAAAGGAGGATTCAATCCAGCCCATTAGGGAGAAATGATAAATTTGTCCAAGAAGTAACACGGTCGCTTCGTTTTCTAAAAAAAAACTTTTCCCACTCTAATCAACATTGATGTCTGAAGTTCCCCATGGAATATGACTGTTAGACTTCCTATTTTGTTTGCACTCAGTATTGTCACTGTTGCCTTGTATTCAACTCCAATGTTAAAGTGTATTGCATTTCCTGACTCCCTCTTGTTCTTATCTGTCTCTTTGTTGGGCATGCAAGAATATGGTGTTTGAGTAAGCTGTCAAAGCTAACAAGAGACAAAGAAAGTTGTGTGGAGCAAATGAGATTTCAGCTACAATTGCCTTTGACTACCCACTCCCCTTTCTGTTTTAGTTCTTGCAGTTCTTAGAAATAAAAACTTTATACCATGTAGTATTGATGTAATGATACATGTATGCTTCAAGCCATTATTTCTCTATGCAGTAAAGGAGCTAATTAAGAGAGATAAAAAACTACTATTCTTATCTTTTTCATTTTTAAGAGCTTAGAAATTGGAGTACAAAAAGGTTACATGGCCACATTGGATTGATTTGTGAAAAGTAGATAGGATGAGCAGGGATTAATTTTTTTTTTTGGATAGAAAAGATTAAAATTTTTATCAGGCCCAATAGTATTTTAAAAAAAAAGACGTGGGTTTTAGACGCAAATTTTTAGAAGGTCCCATAATTTTAGGTACATACAACTAATTCACATAAAAAATTTAAATCCATGAAAATTTTAGGCCTTACAAAAAAGCCCCAAAAAATTTAAGCACAATCAAAAAATTATAATTTCAATAATTTGAGCCTACAATTCAATCCATAACATCAGAAACTCAAATATCAAAAATATAAAAAAAAATAAAAAATATTAAAAATTAACTCATATTTACTCACATCTATTCATTCTTTCACTCTCTCTTAAAAAACAAAAACAAAGTATCACATCCCCCTCTCTCACTTAAACAAATTAAAAATATTTTTTATTTTTTAAAATAATACTAAAAATAAAAAGGTCTTATTTAGTATTATCGCTTTAGGCTTCAAATTGTTTTGAGCCGTCCCTGATTTCATTGATAATAACAAAATACATCATGCTGAATGAGAGGTATTACAAAAGAAGGACACTCCTGTCTCCATAAACAAGGATTCATAAAATTTTTCACCTATTTACCTAAACAATTTGCCACCGCATTTTATTCTCTGTGAGTCCACAAGATTGAATAATCCTCAAATCTACTTATTAGACTGTTAATTTGATCAGTAAATTTACTTACTCCAGATAAGTCCGATATCCCTCTCTTTAATGCATCTATAACCAACTTCGAATCACCTTCAAGCACTATTTTCTTATAGTCTGAATCAGTAGCTATCTTGATCGCTGTTGTTGATGCTAAAACCTCCACATGATCAAGTTTCAGCATACCTTGAAGTCTTTGAGAATAACCCAGAAAAAAGGATCAGTTCAATCTCTAACAACGACGCCTATGGGTTATGTTGCTACTGGTGCCTGTGGGCGTGTATCTATGTGAAGGTGCATGTTGATGTGTGTGCTTGTTGGCTCAAGGGTGGTAGACGTGCATGTGCATGTTCCCACTCTACCCTTTTTGCGTTCAAAGCTAGATATCCCCAACATTCAAAAACGGGAG